CGTGCCGTCTCAACATTCTAAAGGCTTTGAAACACGAATCCTTGCAACTGCCTAGGACATCGGATTTTACCTACACGATCCGGTTTCGTGCAGACAAAAGCAATTTATCCAGATGCTCAGGATAACTTGGTCAAGCCGAGGAGGTTGTTTACTGCCTGGAATGACGGCAGACCGACTATCAGTTCCCTCATGATATGCCCATGATTTTGATATGTTGACTGACGGTTGACCGCCCACTGACCGTAGTTGCATGATGTGGATAAAGCTTCCGACTATTGTTTGATTTTCTTGATTTGCGCTATGTGACTTGTAGACACATGATTATTTTACTGAAAAGATCATGTCAGTCTCCGTCCGCCCTTTGCTCATCTTACGACGGATATATACGTTACTTTGAAGCCATCCCATTTCTACCAAATATTTGATTGCCAGATCGAATTACACGAGTTTACAGGCGAAAATCAATTGGAAAAGGTGTAACACATTGTTCATAAGGCTGCTGAAAACTCCTCAACTGCCAAAGATCAGTTTCGCCCTTCTTCGGGCTCATCAGGTAGACACAACTCCGAAGTCTGCATCAACATTATGTTCTACTTGAGCCTAAATTATACGCAGTTCGCGAAGTGTACTCACCCATGCATTAATTTGGTTTTGAGGAGAGGCTCAGCTGGATCTGTCGTCTGTGATATAGTTCAACCGAATTTGCTGCACACAGACCGCCTCATGATTCTGTTGGTACGACATTCGAGATGTCCTGGTGCAGCATATTCACTTGTAGAGTTGTTGAGCCTCCCGTTGAAACGAAGCTAACGTGCAAATGAGAGTATTTATCAAATTTCGGTAAACTCCGGTTTAAGTGGAGCATAAAGTCGATGGAAACTACACGATCGTACCTACCCAATGAACTTTAAGAAGGACAAGACTGGTCGGAGGATGCCGAAGAGTTTTTAGCAACCTTGGGAGTAGTGTGTTATGGTTAGACAACGTAGCGCGATATCTTGAATATGTTAGCAGATGGCCTGGTGGAGTATGGTCAGTTGAAGAAAAGCATTATAAACGGGAGATTCAGCTTAGATTCAGGTGAGCCTCCCGTTACAACCAAGCTGAGGTGCAAATGAGAGTATTTGTCGAATTCTGTGCGATCAGTGTTCAAACAGAACTTAAGGTCGACGGAAACCCTAAGACTGCGCGCAGCTGATTAACCCCAAGAAAGGCGAAACCGGTCGTGGGCTGTCCAGGGAATTTCAGCCACGTTACAAGTAGTATGTTTCGCCTACATGACAATCAGCTGAAGATGTGTGGTCGGAATACGAACCGATCTTTTATGGGCTTCCGGAAAATGGCTGTTTGGCAAACCAACTTTAGTGAGGGCTGATTGTGTTGAAGGAAGCACAGAACAGATAAAGGATTTCGTGTCTACTGCGTTAAGTACAAGTATTAAACGTAACTGTACTTCGAAACCAAATGAAAAAAACTGCACTGAGATTGCAGGCGGAAAAATTAACCTATATTACTGAAAAATGCCCAATTTCACGGTAATGCTGGCTGCCTGCTGCAGAAATCAGCCGTATTATCTGTTTTCAGCGTATCGAAAAGCTTGTTTGTGATTTGGTGTGCTTCTAAATGGTTTATTCCTGTGTTCCCCAAACAGCTGCAAACAAATGTCAGCATAAGCTGATGAATTTGCCAATTATCTTAGATTTTCTGTATGAGTGAAGGCGACTCAAAAGGTATGGAACGAAATAGCGTAAACTGTCTGAAACGTCACGCTGCAAGCGTTAACCACAAACTTTGGCTCTCAAATTATGGCTCTCGTAGAGTGACAACTGTGTACACCTCATTTAACAGAACTAGTGCGTGAAAATTGTAATACCTTTCGCTTGACAGCATCTGTGAAACAGTCAAAATTTCCGTTACCGTTTTTGAAAGTTTTTTCAACCAAACACCAGGTACGAGTGGTACGAGTGGAAAGTTCTTGGTTCTATAAATTCAGTGAAGCAGTGAACAGCTGTTTCATTAGTGCGGCGTCTCATTAACAGCAGTTCCTGTGAATTGGGGACCGAACTTCTGAGTAAAGTGTTTTTCTATTGAATGCCGTCACTGTACTGAGACTTTTGGTTGTTTACGCGCTATAAAAAGTATCCCAAAGTGCACATTCCACATGATTCCAGACGAATGACAAAATTTGCGCATATGCGTGTCCTTCTAAGCACCTAATCATAAGCCATTGCTAGTATTGCGAAGCGCAATTAGAATGTTCAGTAATCTCTTGACTGACGTTTCGATCCTCTGTGTACACAAGCCTCATGAGTTCCAAGAGGGTGATTAAGCCGATTTTGTTGTTTTGTGGGCTTTGATCGCGTAGCCGTTCTCTCCAAAAACTGGCTTCCAAAAAGTGTTGTTGGTTTTTAAAATGTTTGACTGAATGTGAACCAACTAAAGGTGATCAATTAATTACGGTCCAGCAAAAAAGCAAGTATGCATAAAATTCACGGAAAAGTGCAACTTCCTATTCAGAGAGATACTGTGTGGAAGTGCATCGATTCCGTTACTGTCAGTGATACTAGACCCATGCGGTGTCCAAATCATGATAGCATAAAGCTTGTAAAACTCAAGACCTCTCTAGTGATTTGACGACCTCGTCCAGTGATGGGACCTTAGCACCCAGCTTGATACACCTAGCAAGAAATTCCCAGGACATCCACGCAACTTGGGTCATTAGCATTTTCTTTAATAGCAAGCCATAGTTTTTACCTTGCAGCATTCCAGAAAAAGTTTCATAGAATATCCTTGATCCAAGCATGAACGATTCATACTGAAAATATCTGACGGATGCAGAACATAATGGGCTTCTTTTAAAGCATCTATATGTACAGATCTTGGCAGCGGTACGTTTGCGGACGAAAGTTCACACAGCTGGATTGTTACATCTCAAGTGGTAATCCAGTTCCAATGTTTTGAAGTGGAGTTAGACCAGATACTGTTAATCCACATGAGATCACCTTGGGCTTGGCATTAGGGCACAGCATTCTAAGACCTACGTTCCTGCGCACCTCTAAATGTGAGAGTGCTTGCCAGTATTTTCATTATTTCCATCGCCACACCAGCATGCGAGACAATCTTTTGAACCGCTACGGTTACTGAAGAGGGTCTTACAAATGCAGTTAGCCAGGTGGGTTCTGATGCACTTGAAGGAGAAAAGTAGTATTTATCAACCATAACACATTGTAGCTGGAGCAGTGTTTTGGAGTGCCTGAAGAAGAAACATATGGGTTCCGCCGAAGATTGGTGATATAAATTATAATACCCGATTCCGGGACTGGTCAGTTTCGATTCAGGGCTGATTCGTCGGAGGGTACCACGTAGTCAAGCGACTTTCACTGTTCCAGGAGTTGGTGATGCCAAGGAATTGTCGGCGCACATCTACAGCAGGCGCTAAGCGTTGTCCGTGGGTCACGTTTCTAATCCGATGCGACCAACCAACTAGACCTCAGCGGCATTCACGTCACCAGAAGGCACTTTTAGCTGTTTGTAAAAGAACATGTTGACCGTCATAAAAGCCGTCTTTGAAGGCTTCAGAGACACAGTCCGTCGGCACGGTAGTCGATACATCATACAAGGACCAACCAAAACCTCCGCGAGATTCTTTCACAGATGTTAAACGAACCGCGCAGAGATGACTATCATTGAGTAGCCTGTCGAGTACGGATGTCTCCACTCAGTGGCTCCACACAATGCTCAATCCATTATATGCAGTTGCAGCGGCCTCTTCATCACTGTAGTTGCGCTGCGGAAGCGAGAATAGAGCAAGGGGGAATTAGTTCAATTACCCTGTATTCGTAGTGGGTTCTTGTCTTTGACGTACAGTAAATTTCCATGCAGAGGAAATCCGGCGTACGAGCATGCAAATATTGAATGGAGCTATGCACACTGGCTTCCAATTTTTTGAAAATTGACTTCGGAATGCCTTAGTTTGTTGCCAATGCGGACGTGTTAACAGCTGCAGTGGAACGTGATTCAAAGCTAATAAAGCTGTTTGCCCCGGTGTTGGGATTGCAAACAGGGTTTTCACATTTGGGTGGGGTAGCTGAGAAAAAGGAATACGTGAAATACTCTATTTGCCTTGTGCTGAAAGTAAGGCTACCCGGCTGATGGCATCATGCAACAGCCCATGTAGGATGACAGTGTTTTTAATTGTGACGTTCATTGAGATTTTCAGGCTACCCAAATCTAGATAAGAGGGGGATTAGGGTCCTTAACCAAAGATTTTTGGCTGGGGCGCCTGACTACAAGGCAGCGGCTGGGTGCCAGTATACTGCAACACTGGTACGTCTTTTGAGGAAATAAATGATGATACATATTCCAACGCTGAGCCTGGACATCCTGGAGACTGTGTTCGCCAGAACTACATCAGCGGTGGTGTGAGGAACTCTGCGGATGTCGAAGTGAAATCCCCAATACAGCTTACTGGTACACAAGAGCTACAATACGATATAGTACAGTCTATTTGGAGCGGCAACGTAATGATATCCATTCTGCTTAAAAGTGGGAGAAATAAAAAAAATATAGTCTAGGGTTTAATTGGGTGTATCTCTCTGTGATATCTGGTATGTTTGATAACAGTGGGATTTTTCAAGTTCGTGAACAGCTTTACAAGACAAACTTCAATGTATTTTAACTGGCTTACTTCGACCAGTACCTGCAGACCAGAATCAACTTGTTACTTTGCTTACCCGCAAGTGCACACCTTAGCAATTTGACCTTTACAGTGTATCAATTTGGCCGGTTTTAGTTACTGGTGCTTTCTTGTGCGATAGGTAACTTATTTTTGCTAACTTTCATGAATATTGGACTGAAGTAACAAATTTTATTCGGTCTGTTCTACTTCTCAGAGGCTCACAAAGCAAAAAAAAATCACAGGCTGGTTGAATGCCATAGAAGGCCTAATTGCGTTAATACGCGAGTGCTGTTGATTTGAATACTTGTACAATCGATCGAAGTGGCCTGGGCCTATTAAAGGATGAGTACCTTATTGTCAACTCTGGTTGTTTGCACATCGTAATGAACAAAATCTACTGTATGCGGACTTTTCTTTTCAAGATGAATCTGACGACATATTTGACTTTTCTGTTCCTTTACTCATTGGTTCCGGTTTGTGTCGGCTGGGAATCTAGTTTGACCAACCGACGACACAAGCTCTTTGTCAAGATCTCAAAGGCCAATGCGACCATTACCTACTATCAACACCGTCTGGCAATTAATAATTGGGTCCAAATACCTTGTGCTCATCCTACTCATGGGATTTATACAAATACCACAGATCCGGTTGCCTTTGAGTGGCTGGTGAACGGCCGACAAATCCTTGCCAACCTTCCCCTTATTTACGCTCAGTGGGATCTGGATGGAAGCCTAACTATCTTAACCAGTATACCTCGTGAGTATACATTGTGGTGTCATGCTAGGCTGGGCGATGATTCAGATGAACCAGACAGTTATTTTGGCCATCAGATAAAATTTTTCGCCGAGCCTGTTCGACAACTTATTGTCGGCATACAGGTGAATTTGACGATGGAACTCGAGGCATGGGATCGGAAAAGCAACATGGAAGAGTACACTTGTGATTCACAACGCTTTACCGGAAGAAACGCTACCGAGCGATTTGAACCGGGTTTGGAAAATCAGTTTGTGAGGGTTGCCATCCATGAAAAGGCACTGGCTACCTGTCAGAAGATGGAGTTCTGCCAGACATTCAGTGTGGACCAGTTTGAGTGCATTAACATAGAGAACAATTTAACCGCACTGCATTATGCGGAAGTGAGTTTCTTTCTGGATGGAGGGTCACAGTCCTCGATAACAAGCTCGAAAAAGCACCTAAATTCGGATGACATGCACAAAATGGTAAGTTTGCTACTGACAACAAGTATTCAAATCAATCAGGAGAGGAACCATCATGCAAAACTGGGTGTTTAGCCTCTCTTGAGGGGAATCTTAACTCAGGGGTCTCCAGAAAGAGGAATTTCCGGATATCATCATCCAAGCTTCCCCACAAGTATCAGAATGGAGGGCAGAAAGCAGGCAGCAGGTGTCCATTAAGGACTTTTGCCAAGCACTTGCTGCTTTTTTGACAAAAATCCGGAGTTACTAGGAGTTGGGATGAATGGACATAGTACAAGTACTCAGTTTCCTAACATCAATCAATCAATTTATCAGCTATAAACCGTGTGTCATAGGCACGTTGGTTCCAGCTGTTACAGTTTCAATCACCGTAAAAGGGGAAAGTGGAATACAAAAGCAAGCCTTGGAGGCTCAGTTTGTTCGGAAATTGGGTAGCTACGCATTGAAGACGATAGCCTTGATGCACCAGCCCCACTGACTCTAGTGCCAAATAACATTTCCACAGGGAAAACCGTTCTCAACAAAAGTTACTTGAGTAAAGCTTCCTGTTATTTGGCCTGGAATCGACACCGTATTGGAGACAATTTCTGACTGTCTGGAGTGAACACCTTCAAGATATCAGTTCCTTTATAATAACTGACTGACTGAAGGCAATTAGGTCGTCTGCAATAAGTTAGTGCTAGCACCAGCTCGAGGGGTTAACTAACAAACTTTGTATGCGTACCAACTTGGTAGATGCAACACCGCTTTGGAACGCATATTTAGTGTATCTCACTACGCAACAATGTCAAGTGGGGAAAACTGAAGCTGAGCCGCACAGTGGGTAGCAAGCTGTAACCTGGTTTGGAACAGTCGCATAGGATATATGATAGATATATATTTTGACATAATTAATTTTCTGCAGCACAAAATTACGAGCTGTGTTTTAAGAGGATCCCGGATAGCATTTAGTAAATTAGTCGAATGAAGTACCCTATCAGACATAGGTTCAGATATTGGCACGAATACGTAACAGAATTTTGCGCATACTACCAGTGAACGGGTTTTGTTCATTTTCGATGAATGGTATACGTTATCCAATTTACTGTGAAGTCTTTAACCAGAGGACTCTTACGTTGGGTGATGTCGATAAGTTTCTCCTGATATGTGAAAAACCCTTAGAAGTCATTTAAACTCTCAAAACTGACTAGTTATTTTGCAAGCAAAAGGCTTCATTCCTATTGCACCTCCCTACGTTTTTCGAAAACTGATCTTTGTGAAGCAGTGAAGGTCTCCAGTTAGCTCGTAGTGCTTGATGGAGGGCAAGACTATTTTTTCCATAACTTGCAAGAGGGACCCATAGACATTGCATTTCTCCACCACTGGATCGGTTCTTAGCCTTTGATCTAAACGTAACTACACTGCATACCGACGTAGAGCACAGGGTCATATTATTCGCCCCAGGAACTAGACACAGTGAGTCAGCGGGGAAAAACGGGTATCTAATTGATAAAATGCCAGAACTCTTATAACTGATCATCACGCGCTGATTGTCCTGTTAGTTGCCACATTCGTTTCTCTGTAATTGTGGACATATAAACGATCACTGATCGCGAAATCAGCAGCCTATTTCATTCTGCATGAAGGCTGAGAAAAAATGCTTGATAGAACAACGTAATGGATGTTTTCTGATCTGCTGAGTGAACATTCAAACAGAACTACAAGTAAACTGCGACAGATTGCAAATGGATTTATAAGATGTGAAAACACTGCTAAAAAGCTAAAGATCCTGCAAATCAGCTTTCCCAACAACAGTCTGATGTTTTTATGACTGTTTGACTGAGTCTGTAGAGATACGATGCTTTAGGATGCATTCACCGGCTATTTGAGCCCATAAATCAGCTCGTGACATCGATCAGAATGCTAATTGATCATCCTGCAGCTAAAGAGCACTACCCCTCTGAAGCAAGGAGCTTGAAAAATTGGATTCAGGGATAGATCTGATTGCTACACAGGCGTAAAACATCTCTAGTACTGGTGGAAAATGTACTAGGTTACTTCCGTACAATTACACTGCTTCAGAGAACATCAAAACTAAGAAGATTAGAGAAATTAGGACTCAGTTATGTGGGGCGAACTTCCAAACTTAACCTTTGGCCGACTGGCAGGGAAAGTCAAGGACATCCCTTGAAAAAGCACTGTAATAAATTAGTATATGGTTTTAAACATGTAAGTGAACGTATAAGTTTGAAAATAAGGTGGGTGAACAATCAAACTGATCGTCTTGGCCCTAATTCTAAGCGTGCGAGGATTTACTACTCCGGGAGGAAATTTTTCGCACTGAAAATGCATGTCCTACAATTCGAATTCGTTGCAATTTTTCAGAAGTCCCATTTGACCCAAAACAATCCAGAAGATATCGATCTGCTAATCCTGTGTTTTCTGATTCATACTGCGCAATGAATCCCATCCCCTGCATTTTGGTTAAGCAGTACTTGAAAGGTTTACTCCTTGGTAAAAGATTCTCACAGAAATTGGCCTACCCCATGACCCGTATTCATTATGGAGAACGATTAATTCGCACTTTCTATGATCTTGGCTGTGTCATTTCACAAAATTAAGGACCTATTGATAGATAAGAGGCAGAGCGAAAAGATCACCGTTACTTCCAGAGCTTCTTACTTATCGTTACAGCAGTTCCAAAACAATATTCATTAGTCTACAGATACAGAGATGCTTTTGGGTTCTGACAGCACCACTCTGGCTGAAAAACATTTGTAAGGAAGATCCGAAAGTTTAGTATTACTTTATCTTGTTTATCTTAAAATCACAATACGGATCATTCCCTGGGGCTGAATGGAGGTTTTTGGACCTTTGTAATGTACTACTCATTAGGTTGCTGAAAATCCGTCGACAGCCCACGACCGGTTTCACCCTTCTTGGGGCTCATCAGGTAGGCGCAGTCCCCGGGTTTCCGTCAACCTTATGTTCTACTTGAAACCAAATTGCACGAAATTAGCGAATATCAACTGATTTGCAAACTAATTTGGTTTTTCGAGAGACTCACCTAAAACTCAGCTGAATCTCTCGTTTGTGATGTTTTCAGGGTTCCAGGTGAGTCTCTCGAAAAACCAAATTAGTTTGCAAATGAGTGTAAATTCGCTAGTTTTTGGACCTTCTTTCAAAAACTGCAGTTTTCTTGAGCTGTCTTCGGCCTTGCGGCTAGTTTGTCGCTAGTGGTTTCCACAAGATTGAATGGGACGCCTGGTGCCCATAAGCTTTTAGGCATATGTTAAGATAGTTGTACAAGATAAACTTTATGGTTGGAAATCGACTCAACACCAAAGAAACCTGAAGAAGTCTACCGCAGACAAGTGCTATAGAAATATCCCGTACACTACAAGATAGCCAACAGCATGTTCCAATTTTTCTGCTTTATAATCCCCAGCTCTATGGAGAAATCGATTCAACAACAGAAGACTTGTGCAATACCATACGGAACTACACTTGGGACACGGTGTTTGCCAAATCGTCAACGTGCCGCATAGCCACGTACCATTCGTTCTACTCATTTTGTATGGGCTATGCTGGGAGCATAAATTTTGAGACGGACGAGTGTGGTAAGTCAAATTAGACACCATGACTTTTTGGCTTTGAACTAATTATGGCTTTAGTGCATTTTGAAAATGGTAGTTGAACTAAATCTTTGACCTACGTTTGATCTATAATCATGGAGTGTATGGGACCAACAGAAGTGACAGGGTAAATTAAAAGTAAGGGTTAACGCAACATTAACTGAGCAAGCCAGCGAAAAATGTACAGACGAAATTCTAATAAGGCCATGCAGTTTTTCAAATTATTTTGGTCAACTGACAAGATATTGCAGACTCATAATCATCCATGAACTCCTCTTCATTGATAGCAGCACATATGTCGAGAATTCAGCGAAAAGCTGATTTGCAACGAAGAAAGTCTTGTGTTTAATGAAAGTGAAAAGGCAGAATGGATGGGGTTATTGATGCACTGTCGATGATGGCCTTAACACAACTTAGAAGGTATAGACAATAATAGAAGTTTTTATTATAGTTGACAATGGTGAGATGCTACACGTATAAAAATAAATACAATGCAAAATGGGAGCAAGTCGAAAGAAGAACTTATCGTCTGTGAGAGTTCCTTGCTGAAAGTCCGGACGGCGGGAACGTGTTTTATCCGCAGTATGGCTGCTACACGTGTTCCGTAGTTTTCCGTGGACCTGTGGGGAGTGGTCGACTTCCTGCTTCCTGCGCGCGCGCGAGTCTGTGTGTGCTGACTGTGTTCGGTTTCCCTATATGTAGGTCCGTTTGAGCGTACGTGGGTGTGTCGGCACATGAGTTGTAGTTACGCTCAATGGGTGGTACGGACAATCGATGTCTGATGAGTCACTTCAATGTGACGTGGTTTGTGAATATGAAAAAAGACAAGTCTCGTGATCCAGTGAGTGACTGTGAGCTGAACAGTCAAGTATGTGGGTTACTGGGTAGCTACGGGGTGTATCCATAACCTAACAAAAACTTACGGCACCTCAAATACTCAGACCATCTAGCCCAGTTCAGGTAAGGTGCATCCAATCTCAACACCCAGACACTTCGTAGTCCACTTCATTCCCATCTTCCAAGTTACGGGCCATCTGTCCTCATGTTTGCGCCACCCTAAATTCGATGCATAAAATGGGAACCCTCTTGGTGAAAGGCAACTCAGCATGCATAATACGTAACCACAAATTCCAGCCAATGGAGCTGAATGCTGAAGGCGTTTCAGTTTCTTTGATAACAGAGATCATGTTATCAACTTCCGAGACGTCTGATTCTATTTTCAGTTTCCGGGTCATTCATCAGCTCATGATGGAAACACGCGGTGAGGTTGCGAACTATTGATGAGACCACCCTGAGTTTCAGGCCATATAGCTCGCACACCTTGCTTCTCACTGAACTCAGAATCGCAAAAGTGCATGCGGTATAATGAACGCTTTCCACTGTTTCGACAGACCAAAAGACATTCACCGAAAAAATCATGCACGAACAGTGTGAGCCTATTGAGCAGACTGAGACAGTAAGGCGAAATAATCAGTCGACCAGGCATGAGGAAGTGTTTCATTACCTTTCAAATTCTGACCAGGTGAAAAACAAGCTCAGATGAATAACGCCTCGTATACAGTAACTCACTTTTCAAATCTGACGAGCCTGTGTTAAAAGCAAGCTAAAATATTCGGCAAAACTCATTTGGATTTGATAAAAGTAGGAGTGATTTAGTTTCCCAAACGGTAACACACCCTCACTCTAGAGGTGGCCAAATTAGGGTGGATTAGGAAACACATTGGCGGAATCATCATGCTCTCACTTCAGAACTCAGAACGTTTTGCGCACAAATGACATGAATCCCTAAAATAATGATGTCGCTTCAAAATAGCTCAACTTGCAAAAGACTGGCACAGGAGTACTCAATGTTAAGCGCATTTATCTTTGAGGTTCACTCGGCCCAAGGTTTGGGGAAATACAGGACGTGCTGCGGTTAATAGCCATCGCTTAAAAAAACAAGACACTACTATGGATCCCCTCCCTGAGTTCGATGCTATAATTTGTTCGCGTGCATGACAGTAATCTATACATACGCAGTCAAGCAATGTCCGCATATAGCAAGTAACAAGTCCCAATATGTAGTCAGATAATCACTGCTAGCTCGTTAGCAATGAATGAAGAGTGTGTTTAAGATGATGTTAACAATATCAAGGTCAAACCAACTAACGGTTAATCCTTATAGCGGTAGGCATCGAAGTCAACGATTTTGTGATCTGTGAGCTGGCAAAAAAGATGATCCATAAAACCAGGGCTTTTGAGGTAAGATGGCAAAAGTGAAGGGCTATATTTCATGAGTGTCGCACTGTTCCAGTTTGGGGTCTGTCTATTTGGTCACAAAGGATGATGCGGGATTCCTTCCGTTTTGGAAATTCGATTGAGATATCTCATTGCACATCATCCATCCGGCAGCATTTTTCACCCTAAAGAATTCTAGGCCTGCAGGAGGGAACCGAGTCGAGATATCCCTAAAAAGAGACCTACAGACATCGTAAAGTTTAAAATCCAGTAGGATATCCGTAACCGGCTGAAAAATGATGGCTTTATTAGCCCATCGTTCTTCTAGCTGTTGATGTCCACTTTTAAGTCATACGTCCCTACATGAAAGGCGAGGTAAGATGAAAGCAGAGCCATAACATGTGATGACTAGCTGGTTTAATACACCTTTGAGATCCACTGTCAGTTGTCATCTTACTCCTTAAGGTAGGAACGCGATACATTCTGTCAGTCGTTATATATTAGTCCATTTTTATAGTGAAATAAATTTCATTTTAGTGTGGAAGGCGAAAGTAGTCTGTGCAGTGAAAAATATTCGGGAGAAAAACGAAGGGTAAACTGAAGAAAGCCAGATTTTGAGAGATAGCTATTTTAGCTACTAACCGCGCATCAGTAGCTTAACAGTTGGGGTGAGCGTCAGGCGACGGTTCAGTGACTAGCGTGACAAGGCAGTGGTTAATCGGTTCCAACACGCGGAACAATATTCCTAACCTGACACTTAAGTGAAGAACATTGTAAACTTACTGTCATTGGTACCAGCTGTTTAGAGGCTAGATCTGTAGACGGATTATGAACGAAAATAACACTAACATAGCTCAGAAGTTGTGATGCCCCCCTTGTCAGGCTCTGAACCCATACTCTGGACCCCGTACTCTTGTAGTTTATGTCTTGAGAGAATCGTATGAATAGCAGTACAAAAGAAAAGGATATTATTAGTCCGACCTGCTTTTCAAAACAGTCTTCAAGTACTGTTTTTGGCGTTAAGAGTTGAGAGTACTGAAACTTATCCGGCTTCAGCCGTTTCCGAGATGCCTGGGTATAGCTATAAGAGGTGGTTGTGTGTCACGTAGGCTGACGCTGGTAGCTGTCAAAAGGCTGTTCAGAATCCGAATGTTTGGTTTCATTTATACAGAAACACCTGATGCACTAGTGCTATCAGAAGCAGTCATAGCCATCACAGTTACTTATTTCAAACATTTCGGAGGCCATGGAATTCGTGTACCAGAGGAAAGCTTGCTTCGTAGAGCCCACCTCGCCCGGCCTTGTGTCAAATGGAGACATTCCAGAGGTAATTAAATTTGAAGTCCCTCATCGGTCATCTCATTCACATTGGCAAGTGCCATCGCCCGGGATGGGGACCGCGGTTAGTGATCCTAATAGATATGACTGTCACACAGAAAACAGCGGTCTCTCATTGAAGCTATTCCCTTTACTGCGTAGTTCCCAATCACTTCCATACCGGAAAACAGGAACATTAGAAGGCAATGAAGCCACTAAGCCATCGTTTTTAACGAGTGGCTCTGATTCTCTTATCGTCTTTATCATCGGTGAACGAAGTTGTAGCAGCTGGGGACAGTTCACTTCGATGCACGCGAAGAAAAAACACGGGGTCAAATAATCATAATCATAACATGTACTGAATGAATATTTCAACTTGGAACCCATCTTGAATACCATTCGATTCAGTTTCATCATCATTAACGAGGACATCGACACCAGCGATGCCTTACTGCTGTTCAGGCACGATACACGATACTAGCTACTGTAACTTACCAATAAGAGTTCCCCGGATAACAACTGGATACCGTCCAAAAAAGAACAATAAGCAAGTCACATCACGGTCACATCGTTTAGACTTTAGCTTGATTTTATTTCTCCCATCCGGTGTGGTGACCCATTGAAACGAGAAGGTCTGAAAAAAAGATTCTGTTTTAAAACTCACAAAAATTAGCGTGAAAACTACGAAGACTTGAGTTGACTAATTTGGTGGGCTTGTGACAACCCAAAAATCACACTTGGTGCTCGTTAATAGATCACTATGAATAACGTTAAACCTTAGAATAAGCGATTCGTAGGTCAAAGTACAAGGGTTTTCACTCAGTCGAAAGCGCACTGCTGATGATTCCCAATAAGGATGAAACAGCTGTACAGTGCTTCTCGGCTTTTCAGCATAGATTGGCTTTACTCACAGGACGAAATCTCCACAGAAAGCCCAAGTCTCCTCACACTACCAACAATCTATGAGTAGCTCAGTGGAAGAATAAACTTCACTCGATGAGCGAAACTTCCATCTGAGGAATCGTTGCCCGAGGAGCCAGTCAACACGTGGGACCGCATGATGTGGATTCCACGATTGAAGGATGGGCGGCGTTATATCCTGTCTAAGTGAGAGTTCATCACACTGCCGATCAGCCGCTGGTGGCCCATCGGTTGTATTAAAATACTAGCCAGGTTGTGGGTTCCAGACTCTCCGGAGTTTTGTGAGATGCGCCCTGCCGGTAAATCCCAATAAGGATGAAACAGCTGTACAGTGCTTCTCGGCTTTTCCGTATAGATTGCCTTCACTTACAGGACGAAATCTCCACAAAAACCCATATACCCCAATCTCAAACCCAATAATTTGAGCACGTTCTGGAACTAGTGAGAGCTAGCGATTAAAACAATCAATAACTGGTCTAGATATCACTTTCGGTCGTTATCTGACAAGGTTTTGAGCTGCTATCTTCATGCAAACAATCAGAAGGCATTGCATTGTTTAGTGTAACGCACAGAGCGGATATGAAGTTCCTTGACACATTATCAGAATTTCGAAAGTCACAAGAGAAACGGTGTAGTTCCTGAAAAACTACGATTTGTTTTTTTATGATAAGAATGGCAACGGGTTAAGGGCTGTCTGGTTTGAGTTTAACACGAAAAACTAGCATACTTCACGTATAAAGCGCCAAAACGGTCTTATACGGCCTGTTTTATGTTGCATGTGGTGCGAAGGAAACTGGCGATCTAATCATCGTCAAGTGTGAGTTCATCGGGAATGATCCGCTAACTGTAGAGTAATTTCATATGATCTTGAGTTTGTGAGGATGGGGACAACTCTCTCCTTTCCACTGTCTGTATTAATTTTGTAGATCTTTGTCCACCTGGATCGTACGGTGATGTACGCGTTATTAATCCGCCTCTACCCTACCGTGCCTACAACTACACACCACTACGGTCAGATCTACCTCATGCAGCTCAAATGGCTGCCAAAAAAGCACTCATCCCCAACTGGCTAGACATGGAAGAAAAGGCGGTTTGCCGGAGTTGCCCGGTAAATACTTATGCTGAGGAACCTGGACGCCCTCTATGTCTACCCTGTCCAGTGTGGCACATGCGCCCAACCGACCCTGGAGATGCAAACGAGTTTGTTGGTGCTGCTCAATGGCTTCATCAAGCATGTCCAAGAGAAGGGCGCACGGCGCTTCGTGTAGTGCAAGTATCCAGAGCGATGCTCGGCGATCGTTTTGCAACTTTGGTGGAGAAATCTAATCCACTCATTCGTGTGGGTGTTCTACTGGCCCTTTTTCTTATTCCCATCATAATTGCACTTCTCTTGATGTTCGTCGCTTATATGCTCATCGATGTTGGGCTGGTTCTGGTCAAAATGGCAAATGAACTATTACCTCTGCAAATCCAGTTGGCTGAAACTACAAAAGCTACAGCTGCATTCAATGCCGAAAACCAGAAGGCTGCAGATGAAGTATATGTCCGCATGCAGGGTGAATCAAAGTGAGCCAGGGATGAAGATTGCCATTTCCCACCCACCTTTTGTTCGAACACTGTATCGGTTGAAGTCATCCGTGTAATACAAATAAATCTCCAAGTTTACTAAAACTGCATAATTGAAAAACACAGAGCTGTTCTGATGGAATGTGCCCATTTTAAACAGGAAGAACTTTTCATTAGCTTAATATCATCTTATTGATCACATTAATTTGGATAGTCAGCTAATTACATTACCTGCCCTCACACTTCAAGTCGCTCACCCAGGCTGAGAAGGTCACGATAATTTTTGAGCATAAATCGAATGTGTTATTGCTAATTCTCGACTAAACACTACCGGTGTCCTAACAAAGTATCATAATCCATGTCCCGAATCCCATTGTCCACTCAGTGAATTGGCGATGGTCATAAGTTCTCAGAACGAATGTAAGTTCCGCGATGGACATCAACTTAAGACGCCTATGGGAAAATTCGCTAATGATAAGCTTACTGAGTTTCGGATTAACAAGCCTTGCTATCGTTCAAAAGATACCCAGGTTTTGAAGACGAAACTGCTAGACATGAGAGAGTTATCACTTTCATCAAATGTAGACTTCCGGTTATCTTGGCCTTTCTGTGAACTGGAGGGATGTGCAGGCCAAATGGTTACACTGCGACCAATGAAGCATCCATTTTCCTGAATAATCGCAGTGGAAAGCCTACATGCACTCCTAAATAGCTTGGAAAAATGCGTAATCAGCTTAGGAGTGTTACTGGTGGATGCGACGAAATTCTCCCACCTTGAAAAAGTATAGCCTGGTAGAAAGTTATTGGCCAAAAGCTCTGGATGTTCGATTGACGAACGGCTTGTCTGTTTGATGAAACATTCGGATAGACATTTCAGATTACACGTAGAGTTGTTTACTCAAGAGTCGTGGTCTTGATGGAATGGTAGGAAAGCTGACAACAGTTCTACTCGGAACAGCTCAATTCTCTCGTACTGCTGTGTCATAGAATGCGCTTGTTATGGAGTTATGCGTGCACGTGATTCTCGCTAAAGCTGCGGACCATGCTTTGCAGAAAATTAAACCAGAATGACAGTCATTGCTTTTGGGTCAGCGAAGCGTAATTCTGTGGACAATTACTCTCAATTACTCTGTCAATTACTCTCATTTGCGTACGAATTCAATTTTGATAGGAAACTCAAATAAATTCTCCTCTCCTTTAGAGTAGTCCGCGTCAACTAAATGCGCTGAACCAGGTCACCTTATGTTTCAGTTAGTACAATACTCGAGATTTAACAGTACACTGTCTAACCATAATGCAATACTCTTAAGACTGCTGAAAACTATTAGACAACCCAGTGGGACTTCCCTGGGTTTTTATTTGGAGATTTTAACTGTTACCCAGCTGAATAGTTTTTGCAAACCCTCCTTTGACGATATGCTTGAGAGTCCTACCGTCCGAAGTCGTCCACCAATAGGGCTGAGTGTGCGTCTGACCGTTCACATGACCCATGAAGCCAAGAGACGTGGGTTGGAAATGAGCTGGTCAGTTCCGATAAACTGTGAAAACACTGTGTTGACTTTGTCCATGACTCTTTGTTGCCAAAGAAATCGATACAGACTCTCTCTGGTAGTGTGTCCGAGGATAATGCGGAGTGAGACATGGAAACCTTCAATGCGGTTGTGTCCATTGTTCTTATCGCCATTAGCTAGGACACGCTTTTAGCTTCTAGGTAGTGTTACCATAGAAAACCGCAAAATGAAAAATCACGAATTGACTATATCGATTGTAGTTAATCAAGCTGGTGAATAGCTGCTCATGGTCGAACAGGTTACTGTCCAAACTACTAGCCGGGAGCCGCTGGTTCGAGACTCCCCTTAGTTTCGTGATATGCGCACTGCTGGTGAGTCTCAGTAAGGATGAAATAGCTGTAGAGTGATTCTGGGCTTTTAAGCATAGATTAGCTGCACATTGTGGGTGAAATCTTGATCAAGTGGTTTTGACTGATGTTTTCATAAGTGCACGAAAAGCTTGGTCGGACCCACCATCAGACTGTGTGAGGATTCCGTGATATCCTCAAGTGAATGCAAAACCTTCCCACGGATACCCACCCCCAAATACTAGTATTCTTCCACTCCGACTGTTTACTCTGTCCCTTAGAAAACGGACTTCTCAGAAGATCACCCAAACAAGCCGGAATCCATTCAACAGCCGGCAATCTCTGCCGCAACAACACATTCTGATAAGTACATTCGATTACGGTGTCTTTATTCAAGAGCAGCCGATGCATCATTAAATACATGTTAACTGACATGATCGATGACCTTCACTGAGGAGTTGTTTGTCAGCAAACACGAACTAGGCGGTTACAAGCCATCAGACACGAAAGTATCTCATTTACGCAGAGGTTTTGAAAAGTGAACACTCTCAGTCGACCAACTGAATTTTCTCAGACTTTCTTCGAATATTGAACAATAATGAACGAAAACTGCAAAGCGGTTTTATAATTTCCGTACCAGTGTTCACCTTCCATCAGATGCGCGGGGTGGAGCTTGGGCACCAGAGCACGCAGTGTACACATACCTCATCAGTAGTACACACCGTCACACTGGTATCTTTGGGACTGTGTGATCTGGGGATGGAGTAAGACTTTTTATTTTGAAAAGTGTCCGACTGGGAGATTCTGTGGGACCGGAGGCTGAATCGGATGTGGACTGAGACAAGGAAGGGAATCACGAGGGTGATTGGGTCAGTGGGAACATTGTGGTTTTTGGAAGCAGAAACCTTGAATTTGCTCCCTTGGAACACGAAAAGTTTGGGGATGTAAGGATCTTATTGAAATCCTCTTTAAGGTCATACCAAGCTTGAATAACGACAGTTCACTCTGACGAACATTAGACAGGTGATGGTTGGGTCCTCTCTGATAAACCAGGTTGCTTGGTGGGGACGCACGAATGCCTGCGGGAGACGACACTGACTGCTGTCTGTGTTAGATCTTTTGAGCTGAATTCGCGGTCTCGTATAATGAAGCTTTGGGACCTAAATTTTGCATAATCGCGGGTAGACGCTGTCTTTTCTAGGAAATAGAATGACGGTTACTCCGTCTACCGAAATATATATGAGAGCATTCCAAATCTATGTGGGCATCTTTGAGCATAAGAACACGGTGAGTAAGGGCAGGGGCGCCTAAGTTCAGACTCCGAGGATGTTTTTTGGAACAGCTTGTTGTCGGGGGAAGTAGACCAATAGGAAATACTTTGTATCGGCCAGTCTATGTGTTATAAAGTGGGGTATAGCGCAGGTAGTAAGTTTTGACAGAGGAGAACTTAGAAATTTCTGAGCAACTCTTAAGCTTCAAGCGTTAAAGAAACCATGACCGGGTTGCACGTGAGATACAATAAAACAAAGGGGGCGGTGATTAATCGCGTCGAGTAAACAAGGCCCCGGGATACGCAGTGGGAATTGAACTCAGAAAAAATAACCTCTTGGTTTCACATTCAGTAGACAGTGTAAGAATGAATACGGTTGCAACCAAACCGGAAGCAAAGCTATCTGCTCTTCCCACGTCAATACAGGCAGAAAACGGAGTACCTGATAGCGTTATTTCTGAGTAGCACTGATGGTTGTCAAGTCGCAGAGAGATGACGGTAGCCGACCAAAGTCACAGTGCCACTCTGCATGCCCCCATGGAGTTCCTTCTGCACCCTGGTGTTTGTCGTAGTTACCTAGAGTTTTGCGGGCCTTTTGGTGAAATTTAGACTTATTTTTTTTACAGATGCACGTTGAAGTTTTCTTCTATCAGAACACTATAGGTCAATAGCTTAAGCACTCTCTTGTTTCGTCACATAGCCTTTGTTTGTGCGCTTTCTTATTGGTGCAACCCAGATATTCATCATTCACAGTGAGTCGATTTGAATAGTTTGCTGTCCTAATGTTTGGTCCATAGACATGCGGTCTCGTCTGTATGACACTGCCTTATGCGGATTGATGAATGAAATTATGAACTTTAATGATAGTTACTGTTGCAACTTTGTATATCCTTAACAATGCCTCCTATCTCGAATGGCTGACTTCCAGTTATCTTTTCAATCTTATTTTCTGGTATAAATAAACTCTGTTTCAGTTTCATAAAGTCCCTTATAGTTACCGTTTTTTCTACGGAACTAGTTTTTCTGCTTTTGTTATACTGTTTTTGTATTAAAACTCTGGTCAACTAAAAATTTGTTTTATTGCATCAATTCGCGCTCCATATCGATCACGCTTTGACTGCTGGTTCATATCGGCTTTGCCCGCCTTTGGAGTACCTCACAGTTTGTCGAAAACCATTGAGGTTCGTCATTTTGTAGCCATGTAATTACTTTTATTTGCATAGTACAACACATTTGCGTAACCACTCGTTCAGGGTTTTACAGGTTTGGTTGCTAAGTTTGGTGCTCGTAACTCAAGTAATCCATATAGTCGTTACAGCACTCAACTTTGACGAGCGCGGTTTTTTTGATGCCACTCATCAAACTGGTGAACTCAAAACAGGAAGAAGTTGAAAGAAACAGCAGACAAGTCGAACATGGCTTGTTTTCAGCGATGAACTCTAGGGCTGGCGCAAATCCTAGGATAAGTTTGGGGAATTTGGGGTCCAAGGCTGCTCTATTGTCAGCACAGCTTAAGGGAAGACATCTTAAAGAGGAACGTGAGTTAGAATAATAGTCTGTGAAAAATACTCTTGAAAACCAACTCCTGAAGGCTAAAACCGAGGTGGATTTGGAGGAGCTCGAAGCATCATTTGCTAGGAGCGAAAACGGTTTAGCGTGTAGTGGTCTGGCTGCCCAATAAGTTAGTTTACCAGGAGTGTGTGGCAAAGAAATAAAAATAATTACGCTAGGTTGGGTATGCAAAAATAAAGAGATCAGATGGAACAGACTCACTAACAATTGTTCCCTTTAAAATAGTTCGTCGTTGGCCCAGGTCAGCGAATAGACAATAATCCAACTATGTTGGTCCAGAGGTCTTCTTCTGAACAGTTCCCACATATAATAGATTCCGAAGATGTCTGAAATGTTTTGGTACCAGAGTTAGTACATAAGACTCGCGAATGACCGCTGCAAGCGCGAGCGAAATCAGAAGAGAGAGTCGAAGCACGTGACGACGATTGTATTATGTGAAATTGTACAAGTGCGCGT